AACCCCTTTCCCCGGCTAATGCGATTTTTTTTTCATTGTTGAACCGTGGACGATACCGATTTCTAATCCTTGTACGATTCGCGAAGGAAGTTTTACGCGAAACTTTTCTAAATGTACATATTACATGTAAGGTGTAACTCTACACGACTTAAAAAATCAAGTATGCTTCCAATTTAAATTCCCCTCCATTGTGGAAGTAAATAGTGAGTCTGACGTTTTATACGATAATAAAAATCCGTTTTGCAGATATAATGAGCGCTTTATTCCGTGGAACGGACATAGTGCCCTCGGATGTGATGGCGGGGTGCATTTTATTAGGGATTCAACGTAAATCGCAGCGTCTAAATCTCGTGATTTCTCCGCAATATACTAATGGTACGTATCGAACTTCAATATTTGGAAAATTCATGTTACTTTCATCGTTCGAGAATTTACATAAGCCTGAATAGTTAATTGCATACTTGCCACGTGTTTGATAGACAGTAACTCACTGTCAGTAACCACATCCGTTCGTGTCCCGAAAGACACGTATATTTATAGAAACTCACTTTTTAGAGCTCATTTTTAGAGCACTCTTAGGCCTAGCGATATAATTCTTATTTTTATATTTTAATTGTCATGTAGCTATCGTAATATGCAATTATTATCATCCACTACTTTCTCTAATACGTATTTATTTCAGACATATCCGCGCTTATGGCCGGGGCACCTAGTTGGATGTCCTTGAAGGACGCACTTCACTATCTGAAGCTCTCGATAGCTTCATACGGATGGATGTTTTCCATTTACACGTACGCGTGTACGGGATACTTTCGTCTTCTACACAATTTAACATGTTGCATGTGCTTTCGGTAAGCGTGACAAAATTAATTTTATATTTCCAAAAACTACCCCTTATATACATTACTTTTCTTCAATTATATTTGATCTACTCGAGCATTCGTATCGTAAAGAATAAGGACGAAGTTAGATTACGTTTAAGGCATTTTTTTTTTCCAATATTAGTATATTTTTTTAGTAGACAGGTGATACTTGATTAACAAAAACAACAATGACATACGATTAGTCGAAATGAAAAATTTGTCGTTTCATGGTAAGAACCTTTATTAACCAAAGCAATTCAATTATAGAAGAAAGCGTACCACAATTATCGGCGACAATTGTTGCTATTGCTATTTAGCAGGTGTGAAGGTTTTATCGGATGTGTCTACAGATGATATTCTGTATGCATCGTTTAAAAATCAACTATGCAAGGTTGGTTAAATTTCTTTCTGTTTACCTACGTCGAAGGTGACGATTACATTTGTAAAATATTTTCAGGTACCGTTTTATGTCATCGAGGATCATAAATGCAAAGCTATCGTTGTTATCATACGGGGTTCGCTGTCGTTGAGCGATCTCATCACGGATATCACGGCGGATTCCGCGGTTTTTGAGTGCGAGGGGCTTCCGCCAGGGTCGATGGTAAGCATCGTTGATGTTGAAGATAAGCTACGAATAATCCTCAGATTTTTTCAATAGAACTATACGCCGTGATGAATTTTTATTTGCACAGGCGCACAGAGCCATGATAACAGGGGCAAAGCTGATCTTGAAGGAGTTCGACGAAAACAAAATTTTGGAACGAGCATTCGCGACCCATCCTACCTATAATTTAGTAATCACAGGTAAATTTCTAAGCGACATAGTAACAATTACTACACGTAGCTAAGTTATGAAGTTAGTCCAGGCAACTTTAGTATTTTTAAATGATATATTTCCACTATTCAGATTCTGAATTCTTCTGAATTCTTCAGAATATCTTTCTACTAGGGGTGTGCGGGATTCCCGAAAATATCCGGGATTCTTGAGTTTATGCGGGATTCCGAGTTGATTCGAGATCCCCGAGAATACACGAGATCCCGCAAAAATTCCCGACAATGTACGGGATATAGAATAATATCTGGGATTTCCGAAAGTGTTGTTATTCTTGAAAATTTCAGCAATCCGAATGTACGGGATTTCGAAATTCCGAGAATCCCGAACATTTGCGAGATCTCGAAATTCTCGGGAATCCCGAATGGTTTCGGGATCCCGAAAATTCTCGGGATTCCATCCCGATCCCGGGAGGAATTCCCGTCCCGACCAGGATCCCGTACACCCCTACTTTCTACTAATTGTTAGTTTCGTCAGAACATTCTATTTCAAATGTAATAGATTTCATTTTAAAAATAAGCTAAAAGGAATCCTGCCTCTATCTACATGATAATTATTCTACATAAAAAAAATATATATATATGCAGGTCACAGCCTAGGCGCTGGTTTGGCCATTCTCTTTGGATTTTTACTGCGACCACGATACCCAAACCTGAAGGTCTACGCATTCTCGACCCCAGGTATATATTTTCGAAACACTAACTATTCAAACCTCTATCAAAAATTTCATATTACACTTAAGAAGAATTTTTTAATTAGAAAACAAAACTTTCTGATCAGCCGGCCTCCTCTCCCGAGAAGTTGCTAGAATATCGGAAGAATTCGTTCTAACGATAGGCGTTGAAAATGACTTAGTAATGAGACTAGGTCTTCACTCTGCAGAAAATTTCAGAACGTCTATGCTCATGGCACTTCGTGCCTGCCGGCTTCCCAAGGTAAGATCACCAAACTATCATAATACGTTTGAAAATTCTCATAATTATCAATCTCTGTATACAACTAAACAAGGTGTCGAAGCAACACCCCTGTATTTCAAATATTTAAGGGAGCATAATATTGCAACAACCCCAAAGAAACACTCTAATTTAAATTTTACAATATTGTGCCTCAAACGATAGATATTTCACAATCGCAGTGAATATTATCTTTTCAGTACAGAGTAGTTCTAAACGGATTCGGCTACATGTTATTCGGTATTCCCGAAAAGGACCTAAGCAAGACCTGGACCACAAACTGCAACGAGGTCAACACTCCGATAGGAGGATCGCCATTGCTCGATGAACGAAACAACGTTGCGACACAGGTAAACGTTGAAGCAACAAAATTGAACAAACGTTATTTCTCTGTTTTATTACTCTGATCCAAGCATCACATTCGCTTTTAAACTAATTTCTATAATTTTCATCTATTGTTCGATCTAAAATAACGAACTATTTTCTACTATATTGCAGGAAAATAACATATACGAGCGAGACTTTAGGAAACGCAGAGTTACGAATGTAGAATTGTATACAGGAGGGAAAATACTCCACATTGTGAGACTCAAGCCTGAAAGGAAACAGACGGATAGAAAAAGGTTTGTTATCATTTATTATTAGTACCTTTCTGTGTTTCCAAAATGTGTTAACAAGCTTTATCGGTCCATTTGTGTTTAAAAAAGTATATATTTATAACCCTCTATACAAAGATAAGTTATCGACCACTGTATAAAACTAATTTCGTACAAAGGGTACAAATTTCCTCGAAAAGATAAAGAACGAGTATTTACCTTAAGAGAGGATTATCGACGTATGGTAATATGGTATGTAGGTAATATGTGATGCTGTTTATATATATATCGTTTTTAATATCGCGCAACAACTGCATTAAGAACAACTGTAAAAATCTAGCAAGACTTCTTCGTTCTCGTAGAAAAAAAAGTTTATAAATAATTAATATAAAAAAATCTTTATTCTTTACTTTTTATGGACATATGGTAATATGTAAGATAATACATGTGATGCTATTTATATTCAGCATCTTTATCGTGTTTAACGTCACGTAGCAATTATAATATCGATAATTTCATCAAGCAAAACTGTAAATATACCACTACGATTTACGATTATTCTAAGTTTATGAATAGTTAAACGTTGTTCAGCTAGATGTCCCAACCTATGCATATCATTTTCAGTAAGAAGCAAGGGCCGAAGGAAAGGAAATATGGAATGCGATGGGCACAACCAGAAGATTTTAGGGAACTGTACGTAGAGCCACGAATGCTCCTTGACCATTTCCCAAATCACGTGGAACGAGCATTAACAAGCATACTAGAAGAACAAAATAATCTACCATTCTATTTAAACCTCTAATCTAATCCAAAGAAACGATTTTTCGAATACTGAAATTTTGAAACGTTCAAAAAATATGAGACATATGATAACGTATGATAATTACACGGGAACTTGATTTTCGCTATGAATCAAAATGTCTAGGAACGATAAGTTTATTTAATCTGTCATTCGCGCAAATGGTTCGACCTATTTTTTGTACCGCTGTAGTATAAGAATTCTGAATTTTATTTTCGGAAGTGATAATACGTTTATTTATATCAAATCTTCGAAATACGACGAAATAAAGATTATGTTGTATATTATCAGTGTTCTTTTTTTTTTAACTCTTCGATACTATATACTAATCGAAAAATTCGATGGTTTTTTATTTATTACTGCATAGTTTCTCAAGAAATTGGAAACTTTGATCGCCGTAAGGGTTGTGCTAGTTAAAATGTTTTTAATTTATTATGTAGATTTATGTTCAAAAGAAGAAAGCAGATTCGTGCTATTTTCACGAAGCGTTAGGGAATCAAAAAATGTCTATATTCTCATAAAGGTTACTGTTGCGAATATAGAGTTAAACGTTCGAAGTAATTAGATAATAACATGTTTTTCTCAAAAAATCGTCCCACAAGTTGGAAAATGTATACGACAAAGAATCACCCCTCGAGTTAGAAAATTATCGTGTACGACAAAAATGCGTTCAGAATTACGATGCAATTATTTTGTGAATAATTGTCAAATTTGTCAGCTTATCATATCTCACCTGCACCAAATTTGTCGCCAAATAAATCTTCTATCAAATATGTAGAAACGGTTTCACTTTTGTTCGAATAAACTAATTAAACACTTGATTAATTAGAAACAATTTCACATAGGACGCGTCTTGCTGCCAGACATCTTCGAGAAGGAATAAAATGATCGAATGTTTGAATAAATATCGATAGTTCGATTGCTCGAATGAATCGTAGTATGAATCGATACAGATGGTCGGCATCGTCGGCATCATCGGCTGTCTCTTTGACCACATGGAGTTAGTGAACGCATATCGGGATATTTTTGACTAATGTAATATTTCGTGATAATACATTTTCAAAATGTAAATGAGCTTATGACTTTGAATCGTTGAAAAATATTAATATATTAAGAGGTTGTAAATATAACCGAAAGTAAGTAATGCGTATTATTTTTATTATTTGCTATTATAACCTCATTTTTGCACGTATATGCGCGATAGTTTTAAGAAATGGGCCATCTGTCACTTAAACATCTCGATTTATTTTATTAATAATACAAAATTTTCTGGAACAATGTTCATAGAATAATAATTTATAAAACTTACGTTACGAACTGTATGTATTTAATATTGTATTTATCTCAAACAGATGTCAGTTGTATCCTCAAGAGTTAGCAGCGTGTCATCGATCTTAAAGACACCTGGAGTTAGATCGCAATTAATTAGACAGTCTAATAGAGTATATTTCAAACTTCCAAAAAATCTCAAAAGTATTATTTATAATTTTGAAACTGGTAATGGTATTAAAGACTATGAAGATTTGATATGTATCTTACGTGATTCGAATATAAAGGTACATATTGATACACTTTCTATTTAAGTTGAACTTTAAGAATTTAAATTCTGTGCATTTAATTTTAGGATACAGATTTAATAGAATTTTTGGTAAATGTGAGACAATGTATGTCATTACTTGGTCCAACTCATCAAGTATTTATAGAGACACTTCTGCAACTAAAATGGACAAATCGTTCAGTGGAAGCAACATCAGCCTATAAAGCATTTATAGAAGATTTAATTTGTATGCAAATTTATTATGCTAAAAATGTTATAGATAATTTAGTTGAACAATTTAAACCAGGTATGTGTTAGTATACTACAATTGTGTAAGTATTGATAAAATGTTAAACTTCTAGCAATTTATATACTTTGCAGATGAAAATAGTGATACTGAATGGGAAGCTGGACAGTGCAAGGAAGAAGATGTCCAAAGATTAAATCATATACATGATATTCTATGCAAAATTTTGAAAATTGTGCCAATGTAAGAATTCACGAATCCAGAAACTTTTTATGAATCAAATATGAACAATGAAAATCAATGAATGTATACTCTTACTTTAGGTCAAGTAAACTGCTACTCCAATCGCTCAGAGCAAGATTTCCATATATTGTTCATGGAACTCATACACATGAAGTTTATGTTTATGCATTGATTCAAATATTAGAATATGCACCTCAATTACGATCTGATATTCTGTCTCTAATTATTAATAGGTAATATCTTAATACGACGGTATTTTGTGATCAAGATAAAAATTAAACATGTTCTGTTTTAGGTTAATGGTATTAGATGTAAATATACCACGGTTAGAGACAGATAACGACGACGAAGACTTAATGGATGATAGTGATTGTGACAGCACATTTGGTAATGAGAATAATGTTGTCGAACACAATGATACAACAGAAACAGATAAAATACATCCAATAGCTCATAAATTGGATGTGTGTATGACACTGATTCTGAAATATATGCATAATTCCTGTTTAGTTGAAGGAGTCTTGCAAATGGAATCTTTAAAAAGTCTTTATTTCGATATATTACAAATATTTGAAACTGTAATATTACCCACTCATGCAAGTCAATTTGTCCAGTATATTATATTCTATATTTGTAGTTTTAAAACAGCTGTTGCCGAGGCTTTTATAGATTGGTTATGGCGCAAGGTATCAGATCCTAACATACCTTCTATTACGCGTCAATCATCCGTGGCATACATTGCAAGCTTTCTAGTTACGGCAAATTTTATCACAGCCGGGTAATTATTTAACATACTAGGCTATTGAATCCATGAAATAATTTATATGTGCATTTGTTACTTATTTTTCTTTTTAATAGGTTAGTGAAAGCAGTACAGTTTAGATTGTGTAAATGGATTCACGATTATATTAACATGCAGGATCACTCAAACTACATAGACGATGAAAATAAAGAACACACTGTATTTTATTCTGTTTGCCAAGCATTATTTCTTATAATTACTAAAAGGCATAATGATTTTCCTGATTCAAAAAAATGTAAGCACATTTTAGATTAACGATAATATCTTCTCGGCTGTTAGTATAACTTCCTCATGTCCTTTCAGATATGTTATACTTACAAGAATTGGACTTAGCAAAAATTATAACCTGTAAGTTAAATCCATTAAAAGCCTGTCATCCTGAAATCGTGCATAATTTCGCGGAAATTACGCGAATGTACCAATTGGCTTATTGTTATACTATAATTGAAAATAATACACGAAGCCAGCTTCCTATATTTGGCAGTAAAAAGGCAGCAACAATTACGGTCGGAAACTTTTTCCCATTTAGTTCTTATACATTGGCTCAAAGCGGACAGCAATTAATTTCTCTATTTCGTGACAATGTTACTAGTAGTAATGAACATAAAGCAACTATTAAATATAAAGAAGATATAGAATATATGACGGAATAGAAGAATTTTTCAAATTCAATGTACTTTCGATTTATTTGTAACCAACCACCTTTTCAAATAAATAAATTATTCGCAAAAATGCATGTTACCCTTTTTTTGAAACTCCCACAATTTGCAGAAAATATTTTTTCAATTGTTACAGTATAACATTTTATATGTTATATTATTGTATGAAATTCTTTCGTTCTAAATTAAAAGTAATATGTGCAAACGTATCTAATTACTTAAATCTGCCTATATGTTGAATATATGTACATTTAAATAAATTATCTTTAAACTTAAAAGTCAAATTATTCGTGTTTATTAAAGAACATTTTAAAAACAGAGTATTTAGTTTAACCGTTTTTGCTCCTACCAATTGGTTTGGATTCTTGCATATAGATTAACGTTCCTTTAACTAACAAATATAAATTAACCATGAATATATATTAACGTTTAATATGTGATTGGTATAACGTACCGAATTTCGCGCCATTAGCATCTTAGAAAACCGGAGCCGGAAACTCTACTTCAGTGACGCAGTGGCGTAATCTTTTGCGGTCTATCGGTTGCTTTGCGATTCTTTCACGTAAACGGTAACGTAAAATGGCGAATTGGAATTGTTATTTACTTTCGCGAAACATAACGAAATAACTTTAGTACGATCCAAGGCGTATTTGTTATTGCTGAAATCGGAATTATATATTTACTTCACCCTACACAAACGACCGTAAGTATCATGGTTGTCAGTTTAATAAAAAATTTGTAATGTGTGCACTAGACGTCGGTTCATACTCAAGTTAGTAATTCCGCATGTTTTTCATACGGAATAAACAATAAAGCCGCTTTGCAGTATAATAAAATTGAAATTTCTTTAATTATCTTTTACGGTAAACTTTACTCGTTGTTCTTGCCACTTCGAAACAAGGTTATGATCAATTTTCAAACGGTCTTATTACCATTTATCTTGCACGTTTGAACATTTAATCATCAGTTGATACTCAATTTCATGGTAACTATAATAATTCTAATGCATGTGTTTCTACACACATAGATTATAATGTTATTCTATAGTAGATGTGAGAAACGAAGATCAATTTCTTTCTTTGACTTTTAGGTTATGATTCTTTGAAATTTAAATATTTTCTGTGTTCTTAACAACGTTTCAAATTTTCATTTACATTCCAAAATATTACAACAACGGTACCATTATACGTAGTAATTGAAATAATTTTTATATATTTCATTTAACAATAGCTAATTTGATAATAGAACTTATATCACATGTTGTAATGAAAATGGTAACATATCTGTAGGAGTTCTTTCTCATCTCTCATCAGCTGTAATACATCTATTGTAATCAAATGTGTATTTTGAATAGTATTGTTAATCCTAATTCCCTGATGGGTACTAGATATGTATGAATTAATATTATATAGAATAATGGACAAAAAAATAGTTAATTATTTGCAATAAATAATTGCAACATATTGTTAAGAATTATTGGTTGTTTCTAAATTTGTTACAATTAATTTATGTTTTACTTTGACTTCCAATATCTTTTTAAATGTTTATGTTATGTGCTATTGTATTTAACAAGTTGTTACACTTATTTGAGAGAGTTTTTATATAAAAATTTGTACCACACTGATACATTTTTGCATGTAGGTTTCATGCTTGTCACACATTGAATTCTTATTTTAATGGAAGCATAATTATCAAATATAAGACATAGAATATAATAAAGAAGATTTAAAGAATATTTAAACACTCTATAGGAAAGTTACGTATGTTTACAATTGAGGTTATTACAAAAATGAAATACAATCATTCATAAGTTTCATGGACAGATACTTATTGTACTTCTCATTTTTTTTTTAAAGTTTTAATTTAATACATAGTATACTATTTCATCTGTTTTTTCTTTATTTGTTTACTTATATGAGTATATGTATTATATGTAATAATGGTACATATCTCAGGATATAACAAAATGTAATATCTATAATTATACACTGGATGTTCCACTTGAAACATATTATTTAGTTATCTCTTTTCCTTGTGATAATATTGAAAAATGTTTCACAAGTAAATATGTTACATGAATATATTTCTTTAAAACTAACCTGTTGGTTGCTTTACATAATATATCATCATCAAAAAACTATAATAATCAATGTATTAACATCATTGAAATTTTGTATGAAACATTTTCTTGTATTGTCACAATTATATGAGATATCTAAGTGACTTATTTCTGATGGAAAACTGTATGTGAAAAAGTATACAAAAACATTCTTGCTTATTATCTAAAAGTAATCATTTTGTAGCATTTCTTTATACAATTCTGTTTATATCAAAATTTTGGAGTACACTTTTACTTGTAAGATTAATTGGGTTATTATTGTTAGTTATTCCACAACACACATTATACTGCAATTTTTTATTAAAGACTTTTTCAATATTTCAAAACTTTGGAGCACATGCTGTACAAAAATTCTAGTATAATACTGGAAAATTTATGTTTAAATTCATTGATTAAGTGGACTTTAATCATGGAACAATGTAGGATATTACTATGCAATTTGTTAAAAATTGCCTGTAGGAGACTACTTAAGAAGTTATATTTGTTTACTTTATGTCCATTTATTATAAAAGAAAGAATTTAATGTTTTATATACTTTATATGTTTATTATAACTATATTTAGTAGCTTAACACAATTTTGTTTTAATTTTTAGGATGTATTTCTTTGAAACACTTGTGGTAATATACATGAAATATATAGAAATTTTATGCCATAAATGTAAATTGTAAGGTATTTGAATTAAATGTATCTGGAAATAAATTACTTTTTGCAAATATGTGAATGTAATACTCAAAAACTATATTTCTGTAATACATCTGTATGATGAATTGGTTTAAATTTATAATTTTCATTTATTTCATTAGTTAATACTATGATTTTAAGATACTTTAAGAAATCTTTCAAAGTATTTATTCAAAAGTTCAAATTAAAAAATATGTAGTATCCTTGAAAAGAATAACGAAGTACCAAGTAATATTAATTTTATATATCTTATTAGCTCAATCCTGTTTAGTTTTTAAGATTTGCTTCTATGTTTCTGTTTCCTTTTTACTACTAAATTATATAATTAAATTTATAAAATTAAATACTAAAAATCATAAGTAACTTTAAATTATTTTTAATAGGTTTTATTGTCCAGACACTAATTTGTCAATCTACAGATATGATATTGATGAACTGGTGTAATCCGGTATAGTAGCAATATTGATCATTTTGATACATTGATCTACATTGATTGACAAAAAGGATCATATTTGCAAGCAGTTGAGTCTTAAATAATATGGCACAATATTATAATTTTGTGACCAATGCCAGTGGTACATTATCACTTGAAGATTTACAAAGAATCTGTTCTGTTGAGGGACAAAATGTTCAGTTAGTTTTTGAAGATGTAAATAATGATGACAATGGTTCTCAACAATTTTTGACTTACACCAGTGCACAGCAAAACAATGAGCAAGCGATATTTTCACAGCAAATTAATTTAGGAAATCAAATCCCTACAACACAATTGGATCAAGGGTAATTTCTGCGCATGTATTTCAATATTCCAAATATTCAAGTAGCAGTGTGATATCTTTTTGCTTTCAATTTTTGTACATTCATATATTGATATATATTTAGGGACATAAAGATATTGTATATTCGAGGAAAAAGAAAGGGAGTGTTGGTACGTGGCACTGGTTATGAAAATTAAATATCAATTGTGAAGCATGTTATAGATTGTAAAAGGCATATTTTATGTTTATTTCGTGCATTGTGAAAATATATATTTTAATATGTACTGTGATCGCGATTATATGACACTTTAAACATTAAATATTTCAATTACAATTTTATAAACAGGTATATATCATTTCATGTATATAGCAATCTGTTTTGAATAAAGCACAATTGTATAAGTATATACATTATTTAATAATCACAAGAACTATAATATTTTTTATTATGATTTATTTTCATATAACACTTTGTTATAGAACACTTCTTAAGGTAGTCTTCTAATCACACATATGGAAGTATGCTACAATAACAATATCACAAATAAACTGGTCAAAATAATGACATCTGAAGAAGTAAATATCTGAAATCAACCAATTAATGCACATTTATAACTAGCTTTTATTAAATGAATAAATAAATAAATAACTTTCACATCATTGTCTTATTTACATAGGGAATCCTTTAATTATCTTGAACAGTATATTTATAGACAACACAATTGTTAATGAAATTATCAAGGACAATGAATATATTATTTATCTTTTATGCTATAAATGTCTAGTATTGTACATGTGTGCCTCAAAGAAACTTCCTATTGATATTCTGTTTTACTGATTTAATAATCACATAACATAATTTCATAATCTAAAAAATTGCAGCAAGCACTATGAATGTGAAATGTGAGCAAACGTAAGTGTAATATTTTCATTGGAAATAAGCTTATCAATTGCTTAATAAGATTATGCAATATGTATAATTTAATATTATTTTATATTAATGAAAAATATAAAAGTATTTATTAACACAAAGTATAATGTACACTAAGTCTCTAGTTATCTTTTAAATTCACATAAATATGTAACATTTTTATTTTCACTGCTTGTATATGTCCTTGTACACAAACCCTTCAAAAACTCTCTATAAATCGTTTAAAACATCAAAATTGTGCTAAAGTAAATATATCTGATTGTTTATATAATTTACTTTGAATATTTAACTAACGAATTGAAAAAAATGGTTATATTAAAATTTAAAGCATGCAGATCATGAACTTTTAATAAAAGTAATATTTTTTAAAATCAAATTAAAAATGTACCAATGCACCCTTTTTCCTCGTTATTTTCATTTATGAAAGTAATGTATTAAAACTGCATTAAAGCCTCACCTAATTATTGTTCATCTAACATATTTAATGTTGTATATACATATACTTTTTTCTTTAAAAATTGGTTCTTAATTACTTTTTGTATTATTAGAATATTAATTTATACATTTAATAAAATACATTTTGTTTTCAGACAAAATTTTTTTATAATTAAAACAAATACAAACGAATTAAGTTCATCTCAAGGTGTATTAAAGACTACAGCAGTTAATGCTAATGTTCTTGGTGGAAATATTGGAAACACGGTTGATAATAAAGGTATTAAAATTGAAATAGCACTTTACTATTTGATGTTCTTCCCAAGTATCTTAGAATCAAGTATTTGTTTGAATTTTGTTATTGTTTTTGTATCCTGGATCTTGAATTTACCATTGAAATAAGTCCCACATGCTAGGAAACATCTCATATAACAAACATTCATTAATGTTATGTATTAGAAGACGAATTGTTAAAGTATGTATTTTTGCATTCAGGTTCTAAGACATTAATAGGTTGTAATAATGATGGGCAACAAATACAATGGATAAAAATGCAGAAAAATAATATTAGTGAGAATGCAGTTTCAAAACAGAGTGTATCATCATTGAATACTGGGCTTATAAAAAGGAAACCACCTAGGTCATATCAAAACAGAAATCGACATTCAATAAATAGTGTACAAACGGAATCATTGCCTGCTTCTGATAGGGTGAACGTAACGAGCGACATTGGAACCCAAATACAAACTGCTAATGTGTCTAATACCAGGGCGTCTAAACCGTCACAGTGTAATAAATCAATTAGTCCTATTGCACAAAATGTGACCCTAATTCCTACACAAGTACATAATTCTTTGAGTACAGTTCTTGCTAGACCTCAGGCTCCTAATATACTACCAAAAACATTGAAACCTCATCAACCTAAAATGGAACAAACAAAATTAAAACAAATGCAAAATGATCAAAGACTGCAAGGAGGTAATGTGCAGCGATTAATAAATACTTCATCACCGACGGCGCAGGGTTCGTTAAACAACCTTGCACAACGACAACAGACAATGATACTACAGCAACGACAACATACGTCGTCTGGATCACAGATTCAAAAACAACAACCCTCTGTAACACAAAAGTCTCAATATGAACAACAATCATCACTTTCATCTCCATCTAAAAATGTGAATAGTATGGATACTGAACCTCTAGAGTCATCATCACTTGCAGAACAACCAGTAACAAATCAACAAAATTTTCAATCACAAACTGATTCAGAAAATAGCTCATCTGAAAGTATTGCCTATCTCCAACAAGTTATTGATAATCCATCAAATACCATAGTTCAACATCAAATTCAAGGAAATACCGCAAAAATGTTAGTTACGTTTGCTAATGGTGAACAGAGATTAATTACATTTGACATACCAAATGAAGATTGTACTGTTCAAGATTTATTAGAGCAGGTATTCGAATTGTTACTAGATCTACTGGGTTTAAAAGGTCTTTTATGAAAATTGCTGACCGTATAAATATTTACATTTCCAGGCAAATATCGTATTTTGTGGATCGACAAGTGTTTCTTTAGTGTCTGATCCTACCTTGGGTATAAACTATATTGTGGATGCTAGATCTGGTTCAGTTGTGGCATCGCATGATACGACTGAAAATGATAATTCTCAAGAAAACACAAATTCTAGTTTAGATAATTCTCATAGGTAAGTTCCTTATGAAATATGTTTAACTAAAATTTACAAGTGTCTCAAAATATCAATACACCTTATTAAATATTTCAGTTCACCAGATGAGAATAGCAATCCCGTGCATCAAAACGAGGTAAACTAGTCAATTGTTTTTATATTTTTTTTTAAACGTATTATATCATATTTTGTTTAATTGTGTTTTATGAGAGAATATTATCTTGCATACTAGTAAGGATAAAATAAAGGAAAATACTTTTTTTCGTTGTCTTGAATGATTCTAGAATGGACTGTCATCCTCATAGTTCATTTCATTTCATCTTGTTATTAGTATATATGGGTTAAATTTTAAATAATATTCCAAAACAGATACTTCGTTTTTCACATCTATAGTGATGTTCTTATAATGAAGAATTCATTTAATGTTGAGCTCTTCTCCCATTTTATTTTTGGCGTCGAATTGACGCGAACTGCACGTGTGCACTGCTAGATAAAAAGGAATGTATTGCCTCACTACCGAGATGGAGTTCGACGCCAAATTGTTGTTAGAACTTGTATCTCGTGTGAACTTGTTCATAAAATCTACGTATTGCCAGAACGTGGCATCGCTAGGCTTTAAGTGCATGTCATCCGCTTCCACTACAGTTTCTGACCTCCTGTTTTTCCCTACTATTTTTTCATAATTTTTTCTAGAGATTAGAAAGTTTCCCCAAAAGAATTCAGGGTCCAGAATTTAATCCGGTACATTATGTAAGCCATTGCACTTTGCAGTGAAGTAGAATGTTTATTAGTAGTTTATATTTATTTTATAGTTCGTGTAGTGTATGAAATTATTTTATATTGAAATGTAATAATCCAATTAAACATTCGTAATCATCATCTACGATATATTTTTGTATGGAACTAGGAGCCTATATATATTGAGGGAATGCTTGCCGTTTGTTCTCACTGTGGCATCAGTTCAATCGACTTCAATCGGTGTTTACGATGTAAAAGAAAATTACCGAAGGATGTGAAGTCCATACCCATGACAATGGGCATGCAAGAAAAGAAGGAGACCATGCTGTCGGTTGATGTAAGGATTGTGAGATTCAGAAGCAGACTCTAACAAAATTTCAAATATATATAATCTTGTTACTTTGTTTTCAGACCTTTTATAAGAAAAATAACGAGCGAAATTCATCAGCAAAATTAGAGAAATTGGAACGAGATGGATCTGTTTATAAACGCGGTCGAGGAAGAGGAAGAGGTGTTGCAAAACCGAAGCCTGTTCATAAAGAGCCAGGTAGAAATATAGTCAACAATTTTATTGTTAAATTTAATTAGAACGGCATTATTTTAGGATTTACTTAAGCGTGTAATACATTCTTCTACACTTCAACTGCATCTCAACTGAAATATTCTAAACAATCTGTATTACATACAGAGCTACACACATAACACGATGTACATAATGATGAAAAAAACGTTAATAAGAAAATCATATTCGCTTGTAAACTGTCATCCGTGTTACTTATCTAAGACTGACTACAGTCTGTCGTCTATTCATTGTATTGCATTCATTGTCGTCTATTCATGCGACATTTGTGATAAAATTTAAATATGTAAAGTTGCATCGAAATCACAATCAGGTTAACAGATACATATAGGTACACGGGTCGGCCACAAAACTTATCGATACTAGCGAGAATTATGAGCGCCGTCAGTGGAGAAACGATGCAAAAGCAAGTACTGCGTGTGTGCAACGCGGATGCGAAGGAAGCTAACCGTCATGGCTTGCCAAATAAGTAATCTGAACTCAATACACCAAGATTCTAGGTTATACTATATTCGATAGTTTTTAACAAGAGATGTACACTATATCGCGTAATGTTATATTAGAGTACGCAAATCGGTATGCAAACACAAGAAATAATAGTGCAAAAGGAAGATAATAGTCTTCTGCGCATGAACTTTGCGCACACATAACGATTAGTTGAGCATCGTATCTTAGCTGGCGCGCTTGCGTTCCTATTTAATGATATATTTCTTGTATCATTTTAAATCTAACTTGTATGTTATTAAATACATACACCTATTTCAAAATTTTAGTTTGAAAAAATTATAGGATCATCACATATTATCTTATATGGTGTTTCGTTATCGTAAAGCCAACACTTTATGTAGATACCAAGTTCGATGTTTTTACTTCAGAATGTTTAACAATATCTTCGGATGAAGAAGAAGAAGGCAAAAGTAAAAAATCGGAGGGCTCTAATAACAGTACATTTTCACATATTCCAAATAATAGTTTTTCTGACGAAATGGAGACCATTCTCGAGAAGGAACCAGTAATTACGAACAATTCTATTTCTAGCCCAAGTGCTGATTATGCCATGGAAAATGAAGATATTATTAAAGGTACTATAAAATAACTGATATGCATGTCATTGAAAATATGTAATATGATATACAGTCAAGCATATATTCATCCAAATTACATGAAGAAACAGATCGTAAAATCAAACAATTTTCAGATAATTCTGTTGTATGCCCTCATACTTCTTTGTTATGTCGAACAGTGAGGATAGGATCTTATAAATATATTCCACAGGAAAGAATAGTCATCTCACAAAATGGAGTGAGATTTGCTGTACCTTTATTGGAAGATGGTGATTTTATTTTAACGATAATAACAATAATGAAATTTAATTGTTGACAGCATAATGGTACCAATATATATGTATTTTACAGAGAACAATTTTGTTACATTAGAAGTTAAGTTTCAAGATATTGTAAAAGTACTAATTCATTTCGGGAAATCAATGCCAGTCTTATTCTTTTATACATGTATCAATACTGGTGCTATGATTCGCGAATTATTAGGAATGCAGGATCCAAAAGGACCGTACTATGATCCTATTGGAAAAGGTACGAACTTCGACGTACACTGTGAATAAAGCTGACTAAAATTTATTTCGCAAATAAAATAATATTTTTAAGTACAGTTTTATTCAGCTCTGATCTAATTGGAGCAAAACATGAAAATAAAATTTTTTTATAGACCATACCCATAAACGGATAACATTATTGCCAGAAATGTTAAGTGAAGAATCAAAAGTAGTGCTTAAAAGTTTGTTTTCGCGGAAAGGTTTGTTAGAAGAGCTGAGTTCGAAAGAAGCAAATGATATTCTGATACGGGCGTCACCGAAAGATGTGAGTAATGCGATATGTTGTTGACAAGTATGTAGAGTTAATGTGTATTTTTTTCCAGAGTCCACAAGTTCAAAGTTTGTCTAGGAAAGACAGCCAAGCATCACTGAATAGTTCTAACAGTAATGGTGGAATACAGACGTAAGAATTAAGTTTACTTATTTACATTACAGAATAAATACTGATACCATTGAATATTGTATTTATATATTAAAACTATTGTTTACAGAATAACTGTATATCCCCCGCCTCCTGCAAAAGGTGGCATAGCTATTAATACTGAAGATTATTTGTGTCTTGGAGAAGATCAATTTTTGAATGACGTAATTATTGACTTCTATTTAAAATATTTAACACTAGAAGTTTTATCGGAATCTGACCAACATAGGACTCATGTGTTTAGTTCTTATTTTTATAAACGATTAACGAGTCCACATACACAAGCAGTTGAAAGTAGCGTGCCACTCTCACCTGCTGCGAAAAGACATGCAAGGGTACAAAAATGGACGAAAAATGTTAATATATTTCAGAAGGATTTCATTATAATTCCTATTAATGAACAGTAAGTTTCTATAACGGAGGGTGTCCTACCTATTTCCTATATTAAGTTTTTATTACACGTAAACTATGTTTCAGTGCCCATTGGTTTTTGGCTATTATTTGTTTTCCTGGATTGGTGGGCGAAGTTTTTCCAAATCGAGTACATAGCGAAGAAAATGATACTCGCAAGACTACGCAAAAAAGTAAAAAATTAAAAGAAATAAAACTTCAAGCTGTTACGATTGGAAATACGACTCTTTCACCAGTGACGACTACTATAACTATAGATCAACCTGATGATGGTTCGGAAAGAGATGAAGCTGAAGGAGATGACGAAGAAATGGAAATGGATAGCGAAGATGACGTAAGTTTATTATAAATCAGTAAATATTACGAAATGGATTTTCACCAATTTTTAATTTAGGATGAATTAGAAACGACTGAGGATAAAAATCGCTTGCCAAAAGTAGAACAAAATATACCACAGGAGAAAAATACTGTAAAAGTGTAAGTACATGCGCATATTCGTGAGTAAACTACTACGTAATAAGCATATCGATCTGTTTATCTAATGTTTCCATTTTATATTTTATAGACCGTGCATATTAATATTCGATTCCCTTGCAAGTGCAAGTAGAGCACGAGTAGTAGCAACACTAAGGGATTATTTGAGTTGCGAGTATGTTGCAAAAATGGGAAGTGAAAAAGTATTTTCGAAAGATACTATTAAAGGTGCATCGTTGAAAGTTCCTCAGCAATCAAATTTTACTGATTGCGGATTATATGTATTACAATATGTGGAGAGCTTCTTTAAAGTATGATCATCCCTTATTTGTACATGTCCATAATGAATTCAATTTTTATTGTTATTTCCATCGTATAAAATGTAATGTCAACTACAATAATAATTTTTTTCAGAATCCTATTAAAGACTATACATTACCAATAAAAACATTGAAAAACTGGTTCGAAGAAATAACTGTAACAAGGAAGAGGGAAGAATTGTCCGAACTATTAATTAAGTTAGTGAATTCAACCAAACGAGATAAGAATATTACTCTACCTGTCGTACATTTTCCTACGCAAGATGGTAAATTAAAAACTAAGACCGAAAATCATGGTGACGGGAAATCAATGAAGCCAGATGTAGAGGATAAGAAGAAATCTACGGGAGATGGAGAGAATCGTATTAGTAACAATATGCCAAATCAAATCGAGAATACTGAGCCAACTAATGAGATGGTTAATAAGACTACTTATCAGATCATTCCTTATTCTCTATGTACAAGTTCCAGTTCGACTGAAAACAATCCAACGGAAATGGTGACTGAATCTAAAATTTCTCATCCAAGGTATATAATAATAGATCGCGTATATTAACTGTATACAATTTTTACGATAAGAAACTATCCTATTATACAACTAATTTCTTTTAGATCGTCAAGCGAAACGATGTCCTATTTAAAGTCGAAACGGATTCCCAGGTTAATGTCAAGAACAGAGAATCAAGATGATCCACAATTGGCCAAAAAGCACAAAGGAGATTCTTTTGATTCTTGTAAATAAATTTTACTTTCTTTTTTATAATGATATAATTGAAGTTAGCCCACATTCATAACAAACATGGAATCATTTACCTATATAATAAATGTAGTTATTACTTCATAAAACGAATAAAAACATCCAATCATAACTGTGTACATCTGCGTTTCAATTTTCGATTTTGGAATTACGACCCCCTACAACGAACGAATCATCGCGTTATCCAATTTAATTAACTAGTTTCCTCTAATCAGAATTATTATCGAGCGAACGCAGCGTTGGTCACGTATTTAATACGTACATATTTCTTTTATGAAACCATTTTGTCTCATTACAATGGGAGTGAATGAACGCTGTCAAGGATATCATAACTTTGTACTCTAAGCAGTCTAGTAACGGCTCGGTTATAATATACACCGAAAGACATACGCAAGCCTATCTGATTACCGACCACAATCGGATTTAGTCTGAAAGATTATAACTAGACTACGGATTTTATGCATGTATGGTGTACGTTAATATATAAGAAATAAAATAAGATTACAATATTAATATTTCACTTTGTATAAGAGGATTATATTCTACGTAACTTTAACATATGTTCTTTATATTCATGAACATTGACATCAAATCCACAGTCTAATTATAACGCCAATAATGTAGCGAATGCATGTTTGGGACGAATTCGTACTACCTTTTAAATATCTATTTCTTGCTAATCCTTGACTCAGACACATGTCAGAAATATTAACAAATAAACGGGAACTGCTGACTGGCGATAGTCAGCGTTGTGTATATACATATGTACAATAAAAAGTGATTATTGTTTTTATTTTATAATCGATGTGCACCGAAAATTAGTCGATGTTTAACACAGTGCCAGTCGCGACCAGGTAATTCGGGAGACCAGCTATTTAAAGCTACGCGACATATCCGCACGGATATATTCAATTACACTCGCCAGTTTTAAATAACTGGTTAAGTAAAATCTTGCGGCACGCGAAGGAAAAGAGAAAGGAACGAAAAATAGTTCAAGTGCTGTGTAAGTGTGCGAATCTCCACCAAGACAAGATATGATAAGAACGAACGAAGTTCGATGATAGATAGGTGAGTTAACGATGGTACGGACGTTTCGCGAGAAGTAACTGAAACCGTACTTTGTCGAACGATTGTATACCGTTGCATAATTCCCCTTAGTGTTACACTACTCGTACTTCAAACATGAATCGTATATCGTAATACGCGAAGCCTTACAAAACCATGAACGAACTAACTAGATTTTTATGTATCTTTAAAATCAAAGTATAAATGATGCGTTTGTTCGTTTTTCTGGTCTTATTTGAATTTATTTAATTTTCTTTAATTTTAGGAGTTTAGCTTCTGGGGTCATTCGGGACCCCTCCTCGAACTTAAATTGTAGTAGATTTGGATTAGATGAATTTGTAAAGTATAATAATTTGGAAAGGTATTTTATATTACTAAAATGAAGTATAAATAAATTGGAAATCCGTAGAATCGATCGATATCGCAGAAGTTATTATGATTCTCGTAAATATTGATTTGTTTTTTTGATTTTTGTTTCTAATTGATAGAAAAAAAAAACTACCAACGATTGTTCTACGTTATACGTTTGAATGTAATTCGTTTATTTTGTAGCATTACCATTGAGCTCCTGTACATTTAATCGGCACAATGGCTGCGACAATGATTGCGTTAGCTGTATCCACGCTATACATTGTGCTCACAAGTCTCATAGCTTATTGGATGAGAAGATATGTGACATATTACGTACGGGATCCGTTCGTAAGGTCCCTATTTTTAGAAGGCATTGCTACCGGCGAACTTTGCGGAGCATGCTTTGAACTCATAATAAGTAAGTTTACCATCGTACAATACGCCAAACTTTTGATCGTATTCGATGGTGATTCAATTTAGATAAACCTTTTTCTTACGAAGTTTTTGTTCCAATAAAATTCTGCTCACCTTTAACACCAAGTATCAGGTCATTTAAATGTATAAATTTATACAGGATTGGACACTTTATACGAATAATTATCTAACGAATAAAAAAACATGGCCACCATGAAACTACATTAAAACACAGCCGCTAGGGGCCTGCACTAATCGTTTGTTTGTTTGTTTGTTTATTAAATTAAAGTGCGTACGTTCGTAGAAGTAGTTTGCACTACTACGTGCTGCATTCTTTTTACATTTCCTCTTCTAAATGTTTTACATTAATATTTCTTAGTCTTTATTCTTACTGGCTGATTTTATAAGTGACTTCTAATTGTTCTGTCGTAATGCGTTAAGTAATAAACAATTCCTATATTTTATTATTTGCCGCATCATAGGAATTCGGGTTAACCGATACTGTATTAGTCCTTGCCAAGGACTCTTTGTCACCTTACCGAGTTAAACTATTGTTTCTTACAAAGTACACTCATCGACAACAGAAAATATCGCGAAAAAATACCGTGTAAATCGAGAGTGTATACACCCTCGAAAATATATTTATATATTTCTGACAAAAACAGCGTGTTTTTTTTTTTACTGTTACAAATATAACGTTGAACCTTAGTTGCAGACAACTGGGGTGTTTCCATGTACGGGTTATATTTGTTTGTACTGACGATTTGGTGGTCCATGAATTGGGACGACGCAACCGCGTGTCCTTATACTCACCTCGAGGATGTTGTCGAGGGAAAGAAATCTGTTCGAGACGCTTTCCTTTTAATATGGGCTGAACTTGTCGGCGGCCTTGCTGTTTTTAGATATGTACAGTTACTTTGGGCACTGGAGATTGTCTCCACGCACAAAAACAAAGCGTTCGAAGACTGCACTACCGACCTCCAAGTAAGAGCGACATTTGCTAACAGTCGGTAAAGTACCTTTTTTCTTTTTTTCTTATCGTGGGGAAATGCATTAGGCTATGTGGGACTACCATCAAGGATGGGAGCGTCGAAGATGCCATATCTTGTCATATCTTTTTTGTATTACCATCTGCGTGTATGTAATTATTCTTTTTTTCCAATTGTTAAGGTACCAGTAATATTTGGAGCGTTTGTCGAGTGTTTAGCGACGTGCGTATACAGGGTGGTTTCGCGCGGTTTGAGCGAGATAAATTCAAAGTTTAGCATTATCATCGATTCCTTTATCGGAACCAGTCTGGTTATCGCAGGTTAGTTCATTTACACTACATTCAATTAACGTTAGTATTAACTTATATCGATACGGTAATTATTTAGAAGTATGTCCTCCTCACCGATTTCGATGGCCTCGAATCATTATATGCAAATATCTCGGAAAGTAAGGCCGAGCGGCGGTAACATATGTATACATATTGGAAAAAGTTGTTCAGAATGATGACCTTGACAACATATTTCAAGGCCATCGAAATCGGTGAGGAGGACATACTTCTAAATAATTATCATCAATACTTTGTATTGTTCATTTATACTGATACTTTTATTAAATCATTACCATTCCTCGATAACAGATAAGAATGCTTGTAAACGTCCTTATCGATCACTCTATTTTCAGCTTTTGATTATTCCGGCGGCTACTTTAATCCCGCGCTGGCAACCTCCTTGAAATACGGATGTTTGGGAACATCTTTTATGGAGCACGTGATAGTGTATTGGGTGGGCGCATGTGCTGGTTCTATTGCCTCTTTACGAGTTTACAGACATCCGCTCATCCAACGTTACATGGAACAGTACAAAGAGAAGACACTTTAAGCCACAGACGTCGGGCTATTACACCTCGAGTGTTTCCTCTCGTTCGATCTTCTTTTCTGTTTTATTACCGTTTTATTTTCCGATTTATTTAACATACGTGTTTTCTTTTCGCGCGAACTCCGTACAGAGTCGCGTGCAAGATTCTAACACGATCGAACCTTCCAGATTGTTACAAAAGCTATGTTTGCGCACAAGGCGAGTCTGTGGATTGTCAAACCTCGAATGTTGTTCATTGGCGTGTAGTTAACGTTCGGTTAAATTTACGATTAATAGTACAAGATTGCGAGTTCAAATTAGCGTGTAATACGTAACAGTTAATGGTGTACATAGTGTATCATAATTGTATAAAAGAATAAAAAATTTACGAGTAATTTTTACGACCGATCGAATTTTTTTTTAGGTAAAATTCGAAGGCAAGGTCTGCGACTTTTTGTAAGTTGTCCTGGAAATCTTTATATTTCTTCTGAAACTTAATAACGTTTCATGTTTATTCATGCATTATAATCACATTTGTACATTTGTTTTTAAGACTTATCAAACATATCACGCGTATATAAACGATTAAAAGATATAAAACATAAATAAAAAACGATGAAACATCGTGTAATAGCAAGGTACGAAGTAGAAATAGAAGTGTAAATCTCCATCGTAGAAAAATGTATATGAATGTAATATTCATACAAAGAATTCCGTTTTGGACGATAAATCGTATTGAATTGCTTCGTTCTTATACATTTCGATAGTCTGCAACAGAGAAACGTTCGTTAAATATATTCTATTGTTTAAATAATATAACTTACCTGGTACACTCGTCGCGAGCTTAATATTAGGGAGAAAAGGAAAAAATTACTTTCAAAGGAAAAATTAACAAATTTTACCGAGTCAATTTCGCCGTCCAGTCCAGCCACTTGCTTCTCGTGGCTGACTTTCAGCTTTTCCTTTTCACGGCCTTGTTTGATCTGCACGTTTTTCCTTTCCTGCATAAACTTCTTCGTGTTCTGCTCCTTCTTTTCGCGGATTCGACGGTCCTTGTCACCTTTTGACTTTAGCGCCTTGTCGTTCATTACCTCTTTGGCCGTCTCTACGGATATTTTCACTTGATTCGCGTTCATTTCTTTGATATCTCTGAAATTGAGACACAAAATCATATTATTTATAGGTTTTTCAGGTTTAAGAGGACATTTCACTGTGAACGCACAAAAAAAACCATATTTTCAATAATTTTTTTCTCAGGAACTATTGCATAAAATTGAATAAATGTTCTTTCCCCTCAAAGGTATGATTAAACTTTTCCGATTTTCTGTTTCAGATTACCAGAAGAGCCAAAATCACCTGCGCCAGCGGGTAACTTTCTTTTTTGCACATATGCATATTATTTTGTAAATAAATGACGAAATATTTTTTACCAAAAAGAAAATTTTTTTATTTACTTTCCTTAATCATACTTTTAAGGGGAAAAAAACATTCATTCAATTTTATGCAAGAGTTCCTGAGAACAAAATTATTGAAAATATATTTTTCTTTTGTGCGTTCACAGTGAAATGCCCCCTTAAACAGCCCCACAAATAAAGCGTTAATTAAAAGGGACGATATTCGATGTACCCTTCGAAGGACTAATTTGATCAAATCAACCTGTCCACGTACTTATCGTGTTTCGCTTGCAATTGCTTAACCTGTCCAGCCTGGACAACTTCGATTAATTTTTTGAACTCCTCCCTAGCAGTCTCCGTATGTGTCTTCAGCAACTCCCATTCCTCTTTCCTCTGCTTCTCCACCATGGCCGACCACTGCGCGGTCTGCTCGCTGATAACTTTCTTCACATTGGCATCCTGGATTAACGCGCTTTTGCTGCGAAAATCACGAGATTCGTCATTGTCAACCTTGTATTACCCACGATAAACAACAGAATTAATTTTCCCCAGGGCAATGGCAACGTTTCGATTACGTACTCTTTTCCTTTTACCAATTTATCGATGGCGGAGCAATGATTCTTCTGCATCGTTTGCCGTTCTTTCAGGTGCTTCTTCCTCATCGTGTCCAATTCCTTTTGCTGCTTTTTCCCGAGCTTGAAGGTTTTCTCCTTGCGTAGCGTGTCGATTGTGATCGGTTCCGGTTTGTACTCCTCTTCGATCGAAAACAGAAATTGAAAGAAACGTTGGCTCGTTCGGATTAAAATTAATTAAAATTGAAACTATGACGGCCGAGGGAAGTTTTTATCATTGAATCGACGTTTTCCGTCCCTTGGCCGTCGCAAACGAGATTCTCTTAAGTCTTGTACCCTTTTTAGCCTCCTCCTCTTTCTTCTTCTTGGCCTCGGCTTTCGCGTCGGTTTGCTCGATCCCGAGCCCTTTCATCGTCTCGGCTTGCTTCTCCGCTCCTTTGCCGAATGCGCCCGGATCGGACAGCATAGCCATAAAGTCTGAAAGCCGAGGTTTACCAGCTCGAATCGCAGTCATAGCCGATACACTTCTATTTTTGCCCGACTAAACCGCTTCAGATATTACCTTCGAATCCATCGGGCACGTAAATCTTCAGCTCGATGTTGCAGAACAACATCGGCAGTGCCATGGGGAAATTCGCCTCGGTTTTTAGCGAAATATGTCTGTAGCCAGCCTGAAGACCGTCCAGCGGTAAAATTCGTTGACCCAATAGTTTGCCACTCTCCTCGTATACGCCTGTGTAAACGATGGATAATGATAAACATCCTGGCAGTTCTGCCACGGTGGTTTTTCTTTGGGATGCTAAGTCGGTTGAATTATAATGTCGAGCGGAAATTAAGATAAGAATTACAGTGTGGAGGGTTGGAGGTTGTGGGGGTAATTAAGCCGAAAGCATTTGTTTATTTGATGCTTTGATTATTGAATATTATTATTCCGAATATGTACTGTGGGATAGTTATGTTAATTAACGATGATATTTTCCTTATGATAGTTTCATTCATCGTTTTTACTGTGATCTGTTTTTATTTATTTATTTAATGCAATTAAAACTTCTTTATAGAGATTACTTTGCTAATGACCTATTGTTTGTTGATGAAACTCATTCTTAGACTGAGAAGTAAGTAATAAAATAGTATTCATTGATATTAAGCTACATGTAAGATCGTTTTTGAAAATTTGAAGAGTGAGCGTGAGAATGGATACGTATAGAAATGTTACCGCTCACTAAGCCGCTCTTTGAGCGGTATTTAGTGGCGCCATCGGTGGGGAAACGCCCAAGTTTGTAGTCGAAATAGTTCACACTATTGCTACTAGATGGCGCAATTAACGAAAAGGTCGGTAATTGTTGCTGCATTTACAAATCTGATGCGGATAAATGTTTAAATAGCACGTTCAGATGATAGATTATAGTTTCATGAAGCAATAAACCGTACTAGTTGTGTATTTACGAAAAAAATAAAGAAAAATTGACTGAAACTATCGGTGGCGCCATCTTATAGGAACCATGGGAACTATCTTGGCTACAAAGTTGGGCGTTTTCCCGCCGATGGCGGCACTAGTATTAAAAATTGTATTAGTATTAGCCAACCTGTCTGTTCATTACTCACCCTTTCTACTTGCACTAATACTACCGAAGGTGCTACTGTATTACGTATTTGAATTGGTTCTAAATAATTATAATTACCAAGTCTAAGCACAGCCAAGTCTGGTAACACAACTTTTCGAAAGAGGAACGGCTCCTCGTTGTAAACTGGATTCAAACCGTTCGCAGGAACCATTCGTGTCCTAAATTCCTTTTTAATAGTGTCTGCCGGCAGACCGTACATATCTACTTCGACGTAGGTGCCCACTTTCTTGTCAGATAAGAATTGGCCTGCTATCACCTGGAAAACAGACGAAACTCGTTAATAATTAAATTTTAAATATCTTCAGAATAGGTTGTATAAATCGATTGAACCATAAGTATGAAGAGTGAAAATTAAAACAGAGAGATACTACATGCATAATAATTTAAAGTATTATTTTTTGCATAGATATACTTACTCGAACAGAACACTGCGCAGTGATGACACCATCCACGTCTTCAGAGAACGGATCGAAGATCTTGTCTGGCCTCCTCATGAATTCCGGTTTCAATAAATATCCAGTCGTTGCGTTGAATTCGAACTTTCCTTGGTTCAATTGCATAGGCAAGTCTGGCGTTTGGAAATTCAATGCCACCATCTGACAGCCTGCGTTCCAGAAGACCTAGTTCACCGAAAAGACAAAATTATTTCATAAGTCAATCAGGGCACCAGAATTCATCCCTTGGGTTAGAGCGACTCACCTGAGGCATGTAGTTTGAAGAATCAGCCCTTGTGCCTTTGGGATAGATTCGACTCATTTGACGTTTGTTGTAATTAACAAATTCCACGGCATTCGTTTTCAGATAATTAAGTGCGGCAGTCTCCGAGAACGAGGACATGTTGTGGTAGATGTTTTTCTCTGCAATAAAAATAGTATAATGCGGAGAAAAATATTAAACCACTTTGTGACCCTTTAACTTTTTTTGCTTAAATAAATTTTATTTTCGGAAAATATCACTGAACTTATGCGACCAAATCAATAGAAATTGGACGAATGTAGCTCGAACAACCCCTCTAAACCACCCTCTATCCTGTCCTTATATTATTATGAAAAAGGCTGTATTTTACATACTCTCTGCCGTTTCGAAGCTCTGGAATTTCACTGGTTGTGCATAATTAATCATGGAGGATAGCCAAGGATGGCACGCCATTGTGCTACCAGTGTACTGAATTGGTGGTGCTTCTCCTTCAGCGCCTCCTTCACCTGGTGCGCCTCCCTCAGCTGGCGGAGGTGCTTCAGGTGGTACTTCTTCCTAAAACGTCACGACGATTATTAAAACGAAAACAATATAAAAATTAGCGACGAAGATGTAGAGTTGTCAGTAACGAAATTTCTCGAAAACGAAAAGAAATTTTGTTTATATCTCTGAATAGCAGTTAAATGAAAATTTAAAATCACTCTTAAGTGTATGTTGTTCTACTCAGTTTGAATAAAATGAAATTGTACATGCAAGAATGAATTCTTAATCATTTTTCCGATTGCAGTTTCTCTACCACTGGTTTTAACGAAGCTGAAAATTGCAAAGCACTCCCGAGATTCTGATAACAAACATAACCGTAACGTTAAACCTTGGGTGGTGCTGGAGGAGCGTTTGGATCTTCAACCACTTCATCCTTCGCCTCGAATTGCCCGGAGCGGAATAACTCGAGCTCGACTTTCTCCACCTCTGGTTTCAGCCTCTTATTCTTGATTAGTATCTTGCGTTTCAGTGCGCTCGGGGGTGGAAGCGGATGTCCAGGCTCGAGCTGTACCAATTTACTTATGATTACAGAATAAACGTGTTTCTCGCTAGTTTATCGTTAGTTGGTAAA